GGGGCCCCCAAACGGTCAGGGCTCCCAGACAGGCGGCCCGGCCGTGGTAGCTTCCCAGATGTGACCTAAGTAGTCCCTGATATAGCAACCTCCCTTCTTGGCCGTGTTGGGATGTTTGTTTATACAATGTTTTAGTATTATATATATATATATTTGTTATATATTATTTTAATATATATATATATTAGTACATACATATATATATATATTGTATAGATTTGTCTATTTTTTTGTGGATCAAGGGCTTGGGTGCTGCTTGTGGTGACCATGGTAGGGTATGGAAGTGAGCCATGACATAGGGAGTTTGCATGTCCAAGCATGGAAGAACAACAATGATGGTTTAAATTGACCATAACACATACACATGTTACTATAAACACCGTTGTCCAACTTCTGGTTGTGATCATAGTGATCAGTCCAAGTTAAAACCTTTGCTAGTGCTCCAGTGTTAGAGGATTCCAGGGTTTGCTCACTAGAAAGGCGATGCTTCTCTACAGGGGACAGGTACACTGGAAAAAGTAGGTTGGAGGGAGGGTACTGAGAGCTTGGGGCAAGATTCGTCATGGCACAGTGCTCCAGCCCTTTGAAACAGCTAGCAGCTACATAATCCCTGTTGCTTGCGCCCCACTGAAATCCTGTGGGTTGACCCCACTATTTCAGAATAAGAATAACAACTCCTGGGATAGCATGTCATGTCAGGTAGAGCCGCAGGATTTCACAGAATGGCTCAGAATGGGCATTGAGATTTTGTAAAATCAGGGTTCCTAGGTTACTATAGGGCTTGCAGGTAGATCTTCCCCTTCAACAAGAAGTGTCAAGGGTAGGCCGCCCCACCCTTGACGCTTTCTCCCTCCAACCGTCGGCCCTTTGGCGGTCGATGGTCGCTGGCCCAGCTTGGCCCGTACAGTGGGCCATCAGAGGTGAGAAATGGCACACACACACACACACACACACCCGAAGAGGTCTTTTAGATGGGGATCCATATAAACCACCGAACTTGAAACCCCCTTGTGCCATCTATTCTCGAACCATGATATGTTTTGTTGGCCTCCAGCTTTGCGGACTTATGCTGTCCTCCTTTCGCCACAGCTGGACTCTTTGCGCCACCAGAGACGAAGCACTCCCCGGAACGGATGGGCTGAGAAACTCAGCGTTGGGGCTCCCACCGGTTTAGCAAAGGGATGTCGTTGGCCCTCTACCAGCATTTTGATGCACCTGGTTCAAAGTATAGTGCTGTGTGTTTTGTAAACACCTGCTAATCATATTGCACAGCTTCAGCAAGATTGCCTTGGTGTTGTCCTTTACCACCGGTTTGTTGATCCTTGTAGAGTGTAGCCCATTACCAGTAACAGTCGGTAAAAGATGATAACTCTTTTAGAGAAAGACCTTTACTAATTGTGCAACTCATCATCATCATCATCATCATCATCATCATCATCATCATCATCATCCTCATCCACTGGTAATGGGATATACCGATCTTGATGGACCGATCTGGAGAACTGGACCGATCTTGCTGTGTGAGGTGGGCTCCATCAGCAAAGGTGGGAGCTTTGGAGAGCTCGCGTTGCTCTACTTCGCTCCCCGCGCAGCCACGATCCAGGCGACCGGAGCAAGTCGTTCCAGTGGTCTCTAGGTGTTTGACCCCCTTGGTCCACCTTTACTAGGTGTTGGAATTGGGGGTTTGACTGGGATGTCCAGGGAACGAACTAGATGAGAGCAACATCCGCAATGTTCAAACAACCCTGCAGCTAGATGTATTCATTAGTAGCTGCAGCTAGTAGGGAAGGCCGGGTGGATGTCAAGAAGTTGCTCGTCGCCCAAATCCTCTGGCTGTTTCCCCACGCATTTAGGCACTGTAAAGCATGTGAATGTTTGAAGGCAAAATCCTCGGAGAGTTATATATATACAGATACTACACTTTACTCATGAGTTTTGTCCAAATCCCAAATAAGGGTGGTCTACATCTAAAATCCGTTGAAGTTATTTTGCGGATACTAGGCTGCCGCCGTTTGATCAGTTTGATCTCGCACAAATGCAGTTGCTGACATTGTAGCCACACTCAGCATACCCCAGTGTCCAAGCAAGTGAAGGGTCTGACATGGCCTGACCATTCCCTAACAGTCCAACATGATCCTTGCAAAGCTGATCACAAAAATGCAATAGATCTACCAGCATCTTCATGGGTCACCTGGCTGGGTTCGCCCCAGCCCACTACTACCGGGACCGACAGGACACCCCGGTGTTCAGGTCCAGGTAGGTCCGCTGTGCTGCTCGTTGGGTCTTTCTCGCACAAGCACGAGCACGCGCTGATGAGCGACCCGGTTTTGACGATGTTCCAGGACTGAAGATGAGAGACCTTGACGTCGGGAAAGACCTCTATCCCCCCATGTGTGAAGTGGTTTTGGCAAGAGTCAAAGCTCAAATCACTTGACACAAAAGGAAATTCTGCTAAGAATTTGGAGGAGTGAGCTTTCCGAGTCTTTGCTAGTATATACCTGGTAAGTCAAGCTTTTTCACCCCTTCCCTTGTGGTCCCCCCTCGGTTTGCTTGGGGGCTGCCCTTTCAAGGCACGCGAGGCCTCCCTGGTATGGGTCATCGACCGAAAGCACTTCAAGGACGGGACCGGGGAGATCGAGCGGGTCGCGGGATCAGTTGGAGTGGGTTATGCTGTATAAGAGTCCGTATAAGAATCGTTTTGGTCGATGTTTTGGTCGTTCGGGGAGGCTTGTTATGATGTGTTTGACACCCCCTGGGCACGGGAAGTGATGAAAGGTCATTGAAAGGTGTTGGGCACGGTCATCCCACCAAATCGTCCCTTGAGTGGTGACCGGAATTGAAATTGAAAGCTGCCCCTTCGGAGAACTCCATGGGGAGGGTCAAGGCCTCCCCTGAATCCTTGGGCCCTATTTGTTTGAGGGCCCGGGTTCTCAGGGCAGACCTGTTTGTCTTCCCAAGTCGTGTAGATGACCATCTGGGGCGAACCTCACAGGGGATGAACAGCCGAACCTCGCATCAATCGACCAAGCAATTCATCAGAGTCGTCTAATTACTTTTGTCGCACTGGGTGGGACAGACCTGCACGCCCGCGCGACGAGTGTTTGGAAGGACATTCTGGCAGAGTCCTCCACCGCGAAAGCGGAGGAGTATGTGAAGTATTTGGACAAGGTGGGAGGGCCTTCCGCCAGCTGGAAGCCCACACACACGGGCCTCCTCAACACCGGTCCAGTTGTTTTGTTGGATTTAGGAGGATGAAAGCTGGATGAAAGCTGGTAGTGGAGATCATTCTATGGTTTCATGTGGAATTCAGTGTGGAATTCCTATAGTTAGTTGTTGTTCGCATTCATGTGGGTTCTCATCATATATATATATATATGCCAAGCGATCCCAGCGACCTGTCCAGGATCTACATTATTACATTATTGAAGGAGAGAGTTGGTTGATGTCAAAGCATACAACTTAAATGAAATCTTTGCGAATCATTGGCATCCCTGTTACTTGCATGCAATATGTGCAACCCCAGCAGTAAGTACACCTTCATCAGGATACATCCACATGAGTCCCGAGGGCCGGAAAGGACCAAGTTAGGATGAGCCAGTTTGTTGAACAGATGTGGTTAGAGACAGCCAGAAGACGTCCTTCAATAGAAACAAAGGGAGAACGTTGATTCAAGATCAAAGAACGGACTTTCTAGTTGTACATTCACGTATGAGCTGGCTTGGCCCATAGTCTGGCAATAGCCTGTAAATGTCATTGCTGAGGTTTGGCAATCTTGATTTGCTGCTTCCCTGTTTGATTTGTTTTCTTCTTGATCTCCTTCTTGATTATCGTGTGCTAGTTATCCAGTACCGTCTTGCGGAGTGTCCTTGAGCTGCTATAATAGTTATTTATCCTGTCCCATCTCGGATTTAGTTTTTCCTTCGCGTTTAGTTTACCGTTTATTGCTACAAACAGTATGCAGGACATATACTCTATTCCATTGTCTTTGGTACTTGTTCCCATTCTTATTTAGTTCATCGCCTCTTTTTGGCTACGTGTGTTAATTACTATTAAGCTTTGATGTTCTTATAGTTGTGCAAATTGATTTGCACCATCTTATTTTGCCTCCTCCTGCTTTCTTAATTATACAAGCATGTGCTTCGTCTTCCTGTTCTTTTGGGCCAGGTTGACCTATTTGTTGCTTAGCTTTTTTGGCCTTACATTTGGAAGTCTGCAATTTGTACCAACAATACTGCGAATCAAATATAGGAAAAAATGCGGATAGAAAGAGCTAGAATCAACAATAAAGTTATATAGCTAGACAAGATACAAGCGGAGCTTCTTCATCAGCGTTTCCCGCTTATACGTTCAATCTCCAATTTCTGTTTGCCTTAACTCTTCCCCTCTTCTTAATAAGACCCTCCTAGTCAAAGCTGTTGCTCTGGCTTGCTCCAACTGATTTTATGTGCTCTGTCGAAGTCCTTCCCCGATCAAAATTTGACTTGTTTGCTCTACTAGCTGTTGCGTGTCTTTTTCGAAGGACCGACGCCGTCGTTTTCTCGGCTTCACCAGGTGGAGCTACTCCAACCTTTGCAGGCGGAGCGTTTCTCGTGGAGGGTTCTCCAAGGTGTTTCAGTTCTCAATCTGATGCTGCACCTGCGCTGCGCAGGAAGAAGAGAAAGCCGCTCTTGGCCGTAGTTTGACTGAGATGCACAGCACTTAGCCGACTTAGCCTTTAGGCATTCCACACTCCTGCTCACAGAACATGGAAGTGGAACATGACCTTGCAATTGGAAGACTTGTGGTTTTGGCGGAGACTTTTTCACTAAGGCTGCGCCGTCAATCGGAAGCCTTTGGACTAGCCACCCAGCATTGCACACTGAGGACCTTCACCAAGAGCGAGGTCATCTTCCAGCAGGGTGAGAAAGGCCATTTGGAGAATTTGGGGTGTGGTTGAGCACTTTTGTTGTAATTTGTGTTGAAGTTGAATCTTGATCAGTAACTATCCGAGATTGACATCCATTTGAATCCTTCGGGCTTCTCAGACTCATCCCGCTGCTGACGCCAGGCACTACCGAGACCAAAGTGGTGCATCGCGTTCACTTGTAAGCATATATCATGTAGCCTACATTCAATAAGCATTTATATAAGTATAACATTTGTAAACTTATGTAAACTGTAAACATATGTAAATAAATAAATATACATATATAATATATACACATGTAGACATACCATTATATACATCGCAACAGCTGGAAGGCCCAGTCACCGGTGACCCAAACATATGTTCGACCGGACCTGGTTCACACCCATCCCGTTGAAGTGACTGATTGTCGAGACATGGACAGCACCGATCGTTGGTTCCTCCGTTTTGGGCGGTTGAGAACTGAGTTTTGGTGATGTTTTATGGTTCATGATCTTGACCTTCCCGGTTCGGAGGGAAGGTGACCTCTGCTGTCCGGTTGGACAGCAAATTCCAAGTCTTGAACGTGCGCAGTGTTTTTTTGTCACAAACAGCCCCCCCCCCCGGTGAACCAGACAAGCACAGGAAACCAGGAAGAACCAGATCATAGAAACTGGAAGAACCAGGTGAAGAACCCTGTGCCGAAACCCATGGGAAGATGTAGGGTGCCCAGAAACTGTATTGCGTTCCGGGGTCGACGGTGAAATGTTAAAGGCTTTGGAATTGGTAGGGGCTTGAGTTCCTGCCAAGATGCAGGTGATGCCTTCTACATTCTCATCGAGGGACAGGCAGGAGATACTGTGTGGCTTGTTGGGGTATTTATACACTACACCTGGAACTCCTGAACAGTAACAGACTGTGACCTGAAAATTAGGCTGGGCTAATTCTTGCTGACTCTTGCGTATGTTCATCTAAGGCCCATGTGGCAGGCAGAATGATGCCATCCATTCATGTCCACAAAGTTTTCTTTTGGAAGACCTTGGAACAAGAGAAGGAAGGATGTGTGGGTCATGCCATGGTAAATGTTCGGGATGCCTATACATTGTTCGATCTGGGTGCCAAGCTCAAAAGGTGCTTCTCAAACATCTCAGACGTTTTGGGGGATTTCCACTCCACTCCATTCCACTCCGTGTCCGGACGAGAGACGCTGTTCCGCGTCCATGGGCCAATGACATGAACCCCGCAGGTCAGCGTGATCAAGGACGGCCGCGAGGTGACCCGTCTCAGAGCCACGCCCGAGAAGGCCTCCTTCTTTGGCGCGGACGCCCGGCGCAGCCGCGGTCGGGTCGTTGGGGAGAGAAATCGCCCATTTGCCAGATCTGGCAACAGGTGCGACCTGGTAATTCTTTTTTGCGTGCGACACCGTGGAGGTTTATTCGAAGGGTCCCTTCAAAAAACGTCAAAAAACCGCTCATGTTGATTTTTATATAACCTGGGCATCTTTAAGGGATATTTTCAGACACAACCAAAGGACATTTCTTCAAAATCAAGAAAACCTTCCCCAACAAGGCCAGCCCAACAAGGCCATCACTTGACCGAATGCGCCCAGATGTCGACCTCCTCCGAGCTAAGCCCCTCCGAATGGCACCGAGGCGAGCGCGCCTTGCTGAACAACGAGCCGCGGAATGCCCGGGGACCCGAGATCCATCCGGGGAAGCCGCTTGGAGAGCGAGACACCCCCTTGGTGTGGTGGCCCAAGCGTTGTTTTTTGTATTTGATATAGACATCAATCACATCAAGGTAAGACCCAAACATATGTTCTTTTAAGACCCACTCCAACATGTCTTTTTCCTCGGGTTCAGGTTTTGGATTGGGTGCGGGCTCAATGGTGGACACATTCATTTGATTTCTGAAAAGACTGGGGGGCTGGGAGTTGTTCACCAGCTGCCCTGAATCGATCTCCGGCACATTCCATATCAGGGCGAGCTGCACATTGCGATACATATTGCCCTCCATGGTTGTGGCCCTAAGTTGTGGCTGTTTTGCCTTGCAACATTTACGGTAGCAGATCCTGCTCGACTTGAGAATGATCAGATGCGCGCCAATCATTGACCTTTTGAAACTGAAATGCAGTCCGACAGTCGAAAGGTGATGCATGTATATGCATGTCCTCACTCCACTTCCAAAACCCTTTGGCAACACCCACACTGATTTGAACTCACCGAGACTCGTCTCTGCGAAAGTCTCGCCAGGCCACCTTGCAGGTGCTTTCGGAGACGGCCAAGGCCACGGAAGGGGACCCGTTCCTTGAACCCGGTTTTGCGGAGTTTTCACGGTTCAATCTCAAACACTCCAAAACACTCCATGGAGTTTTCATGGAATATATGCCTACATGGAGTTTTCATGGAGTGGAGTTTTCATCCTCATGGAGTTTTCATCCCAAACACTCCATGGGACTGCCATATATGCCGCCCCATTGACCCCTCTGGCACCACCACAATGTAGACATATGTGACATACATGGAGTGTTTGGGCATGGTTCAATCTCCTGGAGATGTCTTTTTCCAGGTTCCTTAAGCAAATCCTAAGTGGAGTGATCCCTGTTGTAGTTGAGATCTATCGTATACACTGAGTCACTAACACTCTGGTGAAAGGGAATGGAACATGGGCTGCACTCGTTGCGCAAGTCTTGTTGGGTGGTGGATGAAGGCAAAGCAGACGAGGAGGACCGTGTTTGACCGGCTCCGCGACTCCTCAAAAGCTGGTGAGAGCGCCGCGTCGTGCGTGGTCGCTCCAGTTCCGGGTGGAGGGTCCTGGAGGATCCTGGAGGGTGTTTGTCAACTTGTCAACCCTTCTTTTTGGTGGTTTGAGGATGATATAGATGTGTGGTTTGAGGAGGTATGTGGTTTTGTCAACCCATATATAGATGTTTGTCACTGTTTAACAGTGAGAAATCCTGAGTTATATGTGATGGAGATCTAGAATCGAATCTATCCTCAAGATGTTTGAGGATCGGAACTGATGTGTGAGGATCGGTTTGAGGATCTATCCTGTAAGGTGATGGGGAATGGTCCGATCCTGAAGCCTGAAGTCTTCCTGGAATCCAACCCTCCAACTCCCTCACAGTCAACCAGTTGACTCTAGCTTCACTCCCCACTCCTCCGGTCACTCACGCGCGTGCGATGTTGAACAGACCTTGACGGTGGATCGGCAATCCTTCGATATGATCCTGGGGCCCTTGGAGGAGCTGCAGACGCCACTCGGATGGAAACGTCTGACTCCCGAGTCAACTCACAGCTTGACCCCGACAGTCCGTCCTGGGCCCCCACGGTCCGTCCGTGTTTTCCGGGTCCCCAACCGACGTGGTGAAGCAGGGTCCATGGGATCGTCGCCACCAGGGTGTAGACTTGAGGAAGCTGGGGGTGTGTCTTATGGTTTCTCTACAAAGCAGTGGTTTCCGGCAGATGTTCCAGGGAAGTGGATGTTATGATGCTATGGCATTTGCAAAGCAAGTGTGGCCACAAGAATACGGCGGTGTCCACCACTTGGCTTAGTAATGTTTAAGCTGTCGCAAGAGGTTGCGAAGATCATCCTTCCTTTACTTGCTGTTTTGCTCGGAGTTGTTTTCCCCTTTGGTGAGTCCCTCCAGGTTCCTTAAGCAAATCCAAGTCAACGGAGGGGTTCTACTTCATACACACTCCTGAAAATCATCATGGAAGTGGACCGCCTGTTTGGTATTCGGAAGGTTGTAAGCCACAATCGGCGCCATGCCATTCACGTTGGCCCATGATGATTTCAGGAAGTGTTGCGTTCTTGGTTGCCGTTAAGAAAATCCCGTGTTTCTTTCGGAATCGAGGGTGTGTGCTCGTGGGGTGCTCTTTTGGGACCTTGGAAAGTAAGAGGGGATGCCAGAGTGTTCTGCCCGTTTCTCTAGACTGTATATAGTTGTTTTTTAGCAATTCTTGGTTGTGCGTCCGCCATGTTCACATCAGATATCATCACATAGAGAGTTTGAGGGAAGCCTTGATTAGGATTTGCTTCATGTTGTGCAACCTATCCAGCGCAGAATTTCTGGGTTCTCAGGGACTTCGAGGGTAAGCAGTGTTTACCACGGGGGTGTGCCCAGTCTCATTGGGAGACTTACCACACGGGTGGGCCCTGAATGCCGACACGCGAAGCACCAAGTACCAAGTCCACCGAGGAGAGGCAGACAAGGCAAGAGCAAACTACAGGCGCGATGCACTTGGAGGTGCTTGTTATCATTGTCTCCTTTAGCGGAATTATGCGGTTTCTGGAGGAATGTTGCTTGGTGGGAAAGCCATTCACGTCCTATGGCGTACAGATGTTCAGGATGTTTCTTGGCCTTGTCCTTGCACGCCAACCCACCAGACACCGGAGAACCACCTAGCCTCCAAACACGAGCATGTCAGCGTTCAGCTTCGTTGGAGTTGTTCGAGCTGCTCATGGGGAACCAATCACCCAGGACCTGTTTCCTGTAGATGTTTTGGCGAATGTCCGGATCAATTTAGGCGGGGCCAGGAGGAATGTCATGACTCAGCTACGGACTTGATTGACTTGACAGCACTTTGACTCGTCGGTGCTGAGGAGGGAGCGATTCAGAGCCGGGATTATCTATTTTCCCCTTGAACCACGCCTTTCCTCGACTCCTCATCGTGAAAGGGGAAGAGTGCGGCCATGGCCACACCCAGCCTGCCGCGTGGGCGGAAGTTTGGGCTGATCCCACGGAAGGACCTGTGGGGAGCCTCAGAAAGATGTACACGGTAGCCCTCCAGGCTCCAGGAGATGAGCCCTCCAGGCTCCAGGTGAACATTGAGAATGACATGAGAATTAGTAGTTGTCATCGTCGTCATCATGTTAGCAGTATTAGGCAGTATTACTATAGTAGCAGAGGTAGTAGCAGTAGAAGTAGCCGTCGTCGTCATCGTCGTCGTCGTCCTAGTAGTAGTAGTGGTGGTGGTGGTAGTAGTAGTAGTTGTTGTTGTTGTTGCTGGTGGTGGTGGTGTTGTTGTTGCTGCTGCTGCTGGTGGTGGTGGTGTGTGGATTATTTGAATACCCATCAGTAGAGGAGGCAAAACATAGGTCTTATAGCAGCAACCGGCTTCATGTGACAAAAGGTATGGTGAGAGCGTACTAACTGTATCTAACTGCAAAGGAAGGGGCATGCAGGAGTGTGTATAGAACTCCCAAACACCTCAAAAACTGATCTAGTCCAAACCCCTTGGTTGGGTGTTTGCCTAATAAAATACCATCCCATCCCATCACATCCCATACATCGCACCCACCCAGTCACCGGAGCAAGACTTCGCCAGGCGTCGTGTAGGGCTCTTGGGCTGTGGCGGCTTTGGGGCCGTCGAGCTGGTGGAGCACACTGGCTTGGGGGACACCTATGCCTTGAAGGTCAGCCAAGCGGGACTGGCGTGCAACAGATTGAGACCTGACAAGATTTACTGTAACTTTATGATAAGGATGACAAGGCTTAGAGAAGGGATATATGATGTAGAGATCAGTGTTTTGTTTTGACAATTTGCTTTAAAATATGGCTTAGCAAGATTCTTTTTGGCCCTCTCCTTGGACTTTATATATATATATATACAGTACGGTCTATATTTATATACAGTGTGGTATTTATATATATACAAAGACAAAAATGCACCAAGGATATCAGATGCTTGATCCCGTTGCATCTATTGGACCCCATATCCCATGTCCATCCTGGAAGAATCCTGCTCCGCAAACATGAGCAGATGCGCCATGCGCTGCATAATGAAAGACCTGGGTGGCACCTTTCTACAGATCCACACGGGAGCCGATTCCAACACCTCTAGATCTTTGCGCCTGATTGGGCGCCATAGGGTCGCCGCCGTCGAGTGAAAGCCATGTCGGTTTCGAGTGAAACCAGGCACTGAGCAAGGGCTACGTCATGAAGTGCGAAAGCTCAGACGAACGGAACAAGTTGGTCGTTGTGATGTGGGTCTCTAAGTCATGTTTGCCCCTCCCTGCGAAAGTGGCATTTGGAGATCAGGCCACCAAGCGGATGAAGATGGATCAACATATAGGCGTTCTAGGCACTTCTAGGCAGTTCCAACAGGCGAGCTAGGAATATTTCCTGCCAGACTCAGGTCTGGGATGCAGCAAAACGCCGGGCATCTTGGAATTCTCAAACCCAACCAGACGGACAGTTTGCACCCACGAGCCTGGAAGATGTGCGATTCGCTGACCGATCCAGGCGCGGTGTTACAACGGTGTGTTCAGGTCCTGAACGAAAAGAATGTGCAGATCATGTGCGATTCGCCGTACCTTGGCCATGTAAGAAGGGACGCTGCTTTCTTTGCATGTAAAGATATGAAGAGGTGAATGTAGGTGGCCAAGCTACACACACACGAATATACATATACCAGGACCTCCTGTCGGGGTGTCTATTTATAGCCCCTTAGCTGTTAAGGGGTTTCCATTAACCACCCCTTGCGGGTCCTGGTGCACACATAATGCATGTGACATGTGCATTATACATCTACATGGATGTATCGGGCTATATCGGGCTAGAATATGCTAGAATGGGTTCCTGAATGGTTGGGAAGGTGGAAAGGGCTTTTGTTGCCTCAAGTTTCTCGGTATCCCCGAAGCGGGGTCTCTTGGTAACCCCCTTCCAAAACCTCAGAGACAGAAACCGTAGAATACTAGTTACTGAGTGGGAGAATCACGTTTTCCTTCCGAACGAGTTGGGGTACACCACGCTATGGGCGTGTTCAATTTGCCTCGGACGCCACGATCGGAGGCCGCCGCTTCGCGACTGGACGGGGGAGAAGGGTGGACGGTGGACGGTGGACACGTTGAGCATCAATTTGACCAGACTCCCAGAGATACATGGCATATACCAGGACCCCCAAAGGGTGGTTAATGGACACCCCTTAACAGCTAAGGGGCTATAAATAGACACCCCTTGGAGGGTCCTGGTATATATATATATATATACATTCAGCCCTGAAACCACCCCAATGTAGGATAATGGTACATATGCCATACATGGATGGTCTCGGTATTGCATTTGCATGCATCTCTATAGATATGCAATTCATCGTCCAGGCTGGGTTGGCCAAAATTTGCAGATTGGGAAGCAAGCTCGTGCATTGTTTTT